GCCCACTTGAAGGGGTAGCCGAGGGCCGCAAGGAAGAGGTAGCTCAGGGGAATGCCCCTTCGTCCACGGGGCCCCTTTCCCATAGCTTCCAGGTCGTCGGCGTAGAGGAGGAGGTCTAGCGGAAAGTCCGGGCCCAGCAAATGGTAGGTTAGCCGGAGCCCGCAGGCCGCTATGCGGGTCCACCAGTAGCTAGCCCTGTTGCTCAGAATGGCTGTTTTTGGCATTTCGCAAGCTGAAACGCATTGTAAGCATTGGGAGCCCAACTTCCCAGCGTGAATACCCGCGCTAGCAATCATACATCCACAAACAGACGTCAAGAACAAATGGTAAATGAGTCCATCAAGTAAGGGCACTCGTTTAAGAGACTGTGCATGAGGCCTCTTTATTGAGCTGGTCGAAGGCTTCTGCGATGCGGTTAACGTGCAGCGGGGAGTCCTGCCAGGAGGGTTGGGTCCCGTGCCAGTTAGGGAATGTGATAGAAGCCTAGCTTCCGTAGGTGCCTGCATAAGTAAGATGCAGAAACCTCTCGGAGTGCTGACCAAAAGACATGTCAAAAAGGCAACAACTTTTGATAACCTCACTATGACAATGCGCGGGCTACGCTGCCTCCTCCATGTTGGTAGACATTGCAGCGGCCGAGGCAGCAGCTGGCTCAGTGTGTGGCGCGGCAGCGGACCGCATCGGAGGGTTTGCGGTCGCCCGCTTGTCCGCGAGGTCCGCAGCCCAGGCCTGTATCACGATGTGCAAAACTGCTCAACATACTCGTGTGCCATGAATGATGCAATAGCAGTCTGCCCGCCTCCCATTCTTTGATGCGCTCTGCCACGGTCACCATGGTACAGCAGCAGCAGAAGCAGCGGCAAACGTCACCAGTCTATTTTTGAACAGCTAACGCCGCAAACACCAACGCTTCTCATGCTGAGGGGGCCGAGGGGACAGTGCACGGGCTCCCGTCAGCCACTCAAAACCCAATGTAAGCAAAGGGCGACGCGGCAAGCATTTTTGATGCAAGCTGGGTGCGCATCGCGTGTCAGGTAGTTTTGCATCTCTTCATTGATGTTCCCCATCTCGAGTCAGTGCAAAGAGCCGGCCGGTATAACATCCCTAAACCCTAAACCCTAAACCCCTAACTCTAAACCCTAAACCCTATTTGGCGAATTCAATTTTATCATGAATTCTTAAATTTATATAAGTTTGGGAAATGCGATGGCTGACGCGCTCCTGTTTTCACACTACACAACCACGCGTTAGACTCAAGGGCCCTTTAAGCCAAATGGCATCAGTGTGTTTATCCTAGCACTGTACCTAGGCAACTACCGAAAACAAGGACAAGTTCACACTCAACCTGTTCTCTAGTACAGTGCAGGTGAGTGTCTGTACACTTGCCGCTTACTGCAGTAACTACGGGGCCCTTGCGGTGCCTTCTCCGTCGTGGGCGACATCGCTAAAGCCCACCGTCGCTACAAACACTCGGCTAAGGAGCACGGCTACCTGGCGTGCCAAGTCGACACCAAGGAGGAGGTTCCCGGGGATCCCGCTAGCCAGACCGTGTACGTCAACCTGGTAAAAAACCTTCGGGCTCTCCTGTCCTCTTCCTGACCTTTGCTTGTTTTTGTTCTAGGCAGGCATTGCAACGACAAACAAAGCAGACCACATGAGACCAGCGTGCAGCCTGCAAAGCGGCCGATGGCATCTGACTCTGACATGGAGTCCATCCTCAGGTCGGCGACGCAGTGACAAGCCAGCCGTCGAGCATTGTTTTGTAGTTTGGATCTATTGCGTGTTGCTTCGGTTGTGCCGTGTATTCTTGGCCCTGCTCACTTAAGGCGGTTGGACTGGCGAGCCAAGTGCGTCGTGAAGCCTGCCTTATCTCACGAGGGAAACAGGTCCGGGTTTGCTGCGACTCTATGGGTGAAGTGGTCCGGGCAAGAACGACGCTACCAGTGCACATGGGAGGCATCGAAATCCCTAGCCCGTGAAGCGGCTGCAGCTGAATGTTTACGTGACCCAGATATCGTGCGGCAAATTGATCAGCTGGGGCCCACAGCAAAACGGCGACGCGTGGAGGAGTTTATCGAGAAAAAACGCCAGGCAGGCAACCGGGCCTGAGCAATCGGAATTCAAGCGGCTGGGATGATGGGGCATGCTGTCCCCGCCGCGCCTTTACAGATCAGTTCCTGACGACGCCTGTACGGCACGAGCTGGCCGACGGCCCATTACTGTTTGCCTTGACCACCAGTCGTCGTGCCTGTAATGTCAGGTTATGCTTACGCATTCCATACAGCATGTCCTTCGAGGTCGCTTCGAGGAAGCTGCGTAGCTTGTCTCACTTTTTGGGGGAACGATTTCTGGTCTGCGCCCGTGAAGAAGTTAATGCGAGAGCTGCGCGTGCGAGTCTTTTGCATGCGTGCTGCAACACAGCTTCCAGTCCGTTGTTGCAATTTTTTTCCTGCAGTCCGTCGTACATGGTTGAACAGCCATTCAAAGATGTGTCGCGGTTTGATTTCTTTCAGCAGGCGGCGACTGCCACTGCCGCGGAAGAAGGCGATGCAGAGGAGTGGATCGCCTGGTTCTTAGATGTTGCAGCTGTTAGTGGGATGTTGCATGAAGCGTCTTTTCGTCTCTGGGAGCGCAGACTGGCCGCAGGATCTGGGCGAGTCTGCAAAAGAAGCCAGCGAGGTCAGCAAGCGGGGAGAGAGACTGAGAGTCTTTTTTATGGGTGCTTCAATACAGCTTCGAGTCCGTTGTTGCAACTTTTTGGTCCCTGCAGTCCGTCGTACATGGTTGGGACAGCCATTCAAGGATGTGTGGCGGCTTGATTTCTTTCAGCAGGCGGCAACTGCCTCTGCCGCCGATGACGGCAATGCAGAGGAATCGAACGCCTGGTTCTTGGATGTTGCAGATGTTAGTGGGATGTT